CTACAGTGATGCTCATATCAGGGGGAGTAATGCGTGTTGTACTCTTTTTCCTTCACCATGGTTTTGTCCCACTGGGTTTTCCTAGTAAGGTTTTAATGAGGCAACATTCCCCAGCGCATTATAGAGAGGTTTAGTATCGGGCACGGTTATGTCTTCCAAGGGAGAGTGTTATAAACCATATGGATGGACTCCATAACCGGCCCATGACCCATTAGGGTTTTACCTTATTCTCTGTATCCTGCTATTATCCTTGTATATATATCCCTTATACTATTAATGAAAGACACAGTTTACAACAGAGACAACTTTATTGATTTTATAATGTTTGACGTTACCTCTCATAGGCTTTCCTTTTTTTCAGAAAAAAAAAACTCTCATAAGCTTTCCTTACCGCCAAAAAAAATTGTTTATAATTTAAAGCAGCATACGCCAGACCAAACATTATTATTATTATTAATTTATTCAGACTTCATATTACATTTTACTTAATCTTTTTTTAGGAAATATTCGAGAATCACCAAAATAATGCTTGACAGATTTCTCTTTTGTTAGAGACAGGTTACAGACAAGGATTAACGGATGGTCGGCAAAATTTTTATCAAAAGGTGGGAAAGAAGTGATGATTAAATCGGTAGCTGCGGCATTACCAACTTATGTTATGTCATGCTTCAGACTACCGAAAACAATCACTTCTAAACTCACTAGTGCGGTTGCTAATTTCTGGTGGAGCTCGAATGGTGCCTCCAGAGGTATGCATTGGATGGCTTGGGATAAATTATGTATTAATAAATCGGAAGGAGGGATAGGATTTCGAAACGTCGATGATTTTAATTCGGCCTTACTTGCAAAACAGTTGTGGCGGTTGATCACGGTTCCGGATTCTCTCTTTGCGAGGGTTTTTAAAGGGCGGTATTATAGGAAATCCAATCCTTTGGAAAATATAAAGTCATATTCCCCATCGTATGGGTGGCGGAGTATATGCTCAGCTAGATCTCTGGTTAGTAAAGGACTTATTAAAAGAGTCGGATCTGGGAATTCCATCTCAGTTTGGGAGGATCCGTGGATTCCAGCTCAATTCCCGAGACCAGCAAAAAGTAATGGATCTATTAATGACCCATCTTTAAAAGTTAACATGCTTATAGATAGTCGATCTAATTTTTGGGACATTGATCTCCTTAAAGCGGTCTTTGACCAGGAAGATGTCGAGTTAATAAGTGCCCTACCGGTGGGTGCGCCAACCAAGGAGGACACCTTGGGTTGGCATTTTACAAAATCCGGCAAATATTCAGTTAAGTCGGGGTATCATACCGCACGGTTGGATAAGTTGGAAACCAACTCATCTTTCATTGGGCCAGATTTCAATAAGCTAAAGGCTCATACTTGGAAAGTGCAGTGTCCACCTAGGATACGTCATTTTTTATGGCAAATCTTAACGGGTTGTGTACCGGTTACAGAGAACTTACGAAAAAGAGGAATTGATTGTGACACTGGTTGTGCCAGATGTGGTGCACTGGAGGAAACAGTCAATCACACACTCTTTCAGTGCCATCCTGCAAGACAGGTTTGGGCACTTTCTCAGATTCCTACGGTTATGGGGACTTTTCCCACAGATTCTATTTTTGCAAACTTGGATCATTTATTTTGGAGAATACCATCGGAGTTTGATTCTATAGCTTTTCCTTGGATTATTTGGTATATTTGGAAAGCACGGAATGAAAAATTGTTTGAAAATGTGGATAACGATCCGTTAGAGGTTTTACGGTTAGCGGAAAGAGAGGCACAATTGTGGCACTCAGCTCAAGTGGAGCTTCATACTGAAACTCAGGCTTCAGTGGAATTTCCAAATCGGCCTCAAACGAGGGGGGTGTCCCTAGATTCGGATTTTACAGGATACCGTTGTTTTGTGGATGGATCCTGGAAAGACAGCGACAAGTTTTCCGGGATAGGGTGGTTTTGTACACCATCAAACGGTGAGCCATCAACAATGGGAGCTGCCAACCTCCGTAGAAGCCTATCTCCGCTACATGCCGAATTCGAGGCCCTCCTTTGGGCGATGAAGTGTATGATTGGTGCAGATAATCAAGAGGTAGCATTCCTTACAGACTGTTCTGACCTGGTGAAGATGGTGTCTTCCCCAACCGAATGGCCGGCCTTCTCAGTGTATCTGGAGGAATTTCAGAGCGACAAGGAAGAGTTCTCTACCTTCTCTTTATCTTTAATTTCTCGTTGTGCAAATGCAAAAGCGGATAATCTGGCACGAAAAATTCGTACGGAACCGCTTCATATCACTTATGTAAACAACATTCCACAAGAATGGCTCTTTTGAGCACTATTTAATTACAGATGACAAAAAAAAAAAAAAAAATGCTTGACAGATTTCCAATAACATTACTTTTTATGATCAAGGATTGTGGTATTGGTTTAGGTATTGACAAATCATCACTACACTCATACATCCCTGTTATCATCGTACCACCGACTCTAACGTTTAAACCGTCATAATCTTTGGCTGCCAAATCTTTAAGAGAAATCTGATTATATTAAGTGCATTGTCATAATTTTCTATGCAACCTAGATATATATTATGAGAACGAAAATCAGTCGTGTTGTCCGCGAACAATTTTAATTGCTTCAGCGTATCTGATATATTTTGAGACTGATAATTGATCAAAAATTTGGTAAAGCCAGAAAAATCTAATGATGCAATTTCAGAGGTTGGTTTTAGAACCTCAAAACAAAGTGACGAAAGATTTTGCTTTTTTTTTAACCACATGGTGGTGGGAGAGTGGTTCTCGTTTGGTTGGAAGGATCGCCCTGTTGGTCTAGGCCAGAGATCGATCTTCCCCAGACGCAGTTTCGCTCTCTCACTCATGTGGCCACCTGGGAATTTACATGCGGACTTGCTCAGGCGCCCCAGACCACCATTTTATCAGGGGGCCCTTAAGTGGAGGCTTAAAAATCTCTGTGACGCGGGCTTAGGCCCAGTGGGCTAGTCAGATCACTGTGTGGTCTGGATACTGGGTTATCAAAAAAAAAAAATTTTGCTTTTTGGTGCAGATAGAGTTGATCTCACTTTTTGTAACCATAATACTATATTTTGCATATGATGATGCGACAACAAGAAGTAAAACCACTATAGGGACCATTACAATTTTTCTTTTTACAGATGCAACCATTTTTTCATTCTAGATGTTTGAGTACTTTTGTGAGATTATATAGAGTGAAACATACGTTCAAATTTTAAATGCTAATAAATTATGTACCATAATAAAATGTTCTTTTCAATGGTTTTTTTTTTGGTAATTTAAATATGCTAGCCTTTGACCCAAGAAAGAGATATGGTAGTTTTTTTATTATAATAAAGGATATCTACTTAAAAATTTGTCCATATGCACCTTTTTTTTGTAGATTGGTCAAATAGGTTTTTTGAAAAATCAAAACCCAACTTTACTCTATTTTCTCTCAAAATTAATTTAAAAAATAAAACTTCATAATTGATTTTACAAAATTAAAATAGAAATAGAAAATCACATAACCTCCAAATAAATCAGAGTCTTTCATAAGACCTTAAAAGACTAAAAGTCTTTTTTCTTCTCGAAGACAAACTCTCGGAGAAAAAAACAAAGTGTGCTGCCGGCGAAAAAAACAAAGTGTGCCGCCGGCGATTCCTCAGCCTTCTCTCAAGCGTTGTCGCTGGCGAGTCGTCAGCCGTCTTGCTTCCTCTTGATATCAGCTTGAAGCTCTTCCCGGTTCGTCTTTCCCTTCTCTGTTTTCTTCTAGGTCTTCACATGTTGTTCCCCAATTTTGATTCTTCTCTATACACTAACAACATAAAAGTACATTTGTTTATAACTTTGAATTCCTGTAACTTGATTAGAGATTTCAATTTCATGAGTTTTAAACTTCCAAATTTCAATTGAATGTAGATTGAATAAGTCTTTCACTCTTTGATTCATGTTAATGTATATGTGTTTGGGTTCAAATTCATTGATTTATGTAGATTTTTATGTCTGAAATCACAGTGTCATCAATGATTACTTTACTTGCAGTTAGCAGAATTACTTTACTTGGATAATTAGAGTCCTTCACTTTCAACACATTAATATTAATTTGCGTTTCTTCTATACAGCTTCCTACGTAGGGTTTGATTATGTCATGTAGAGTGAAGAGAATGAATTGACGTGATTAAGTTACTAAGACCCAATTTTTCTTTCTCTAGGAGCCTTATGGGATGTGATTTCAATGGTGAAAACACTGTCAAATTTATAAAATGTATTTGCTGTAGACCTTTGGGAGGCTGCTCATGATCCTATCTTAATTGAGCGAATGAAGAACTATAAACCTCCACATCAATCGTCGGATATCCTTGAAATTGATTGAGATTAATTAGCATTATGGTGTTTTTTTTTTATCGTGCAAACAGATTATGTCCTACTCTTGCGACATGTATTTTGTATGACCTTTGTTTTTTTTTTCCTAATTATTTAGGCGTTTTATGAAAGTAAGTTCCTTGAGTTCGTCTCTAATATCTCCTATTAGCTCGAGCAAGATGATTTTTTGTTCTCCACTCCTTCTTGTGCTTATCTGTTTTATACGTGTTCTACTCATGTATAATTTGATCCATTACAAACTTGATTATGAACACAAACATTAGAGACAAACGCAGGAACAAAAAATGATCATAAGTAGAAGTGAATCCATAGTTCAAAACTAAACCACAAACTTAACTAATACTGAATCCATAAATCAAAACACAAAAACAAAAATATAAGTATAAGTGAATGTAATACTCAAAAAAGCAAAACGAAAATTATTAGAATAAAATCAAAAACTAAGAACTGAACCCCGCAACCTCCCATGGTAGTGAATCGGAAAAACATGAAGCTGCTCATAATTTGAAGTTGCTTTCTAATCCTGTAAATTAAAAACAAAACCGTTAGCAAAAGACAATTTTTAAAGTCTCTATTTAAGATTACAACCAGTAGTTAGACAAACCTTAATCATATAGCTATGTCACATGTTGTTCGATTATGGCCTTCTTTTCCACAACGACTACACCTATGTCTCTTTGACAATTGTGATTGTTGTGACGCTTTTATCTTGTCTTCAGCCGTTTCATATCTTCGTTTTCTTCGTCGACCAGGTTGTCTTCTTGTTTCAGGTGGTAACACAATTGCAGCTGCAACCTCCTCTGGGACACGCCATTCTTCTTCGGGAACACCAATTGGATTAATAGTTTCCTCATATAACGATCTCCAAGTGGCAGTGGTATACACATCATCAGCATATGGGTATATACACTTGCCTATCGCATAAGCTCCTTTTATAGCGTGTCTACAAGGAAGTTTCCCTATCTCAAACTTCCCACATGAACATGTTCTTCTTTCCAAGTCAACGACGAAGTCGAATCCGTTTGCTTTAACCTGTAATCTGTTACTAGTAATCGGATAAACTTTAAAAAATTTACCTTTCTCTATTCTTCTAGAAATCTTTTTCTCCACCTCAATAGTCAACGGATCTTTTTGCTTTGCACTTAATACTCTTCGCTCATAAAACCAACGTGTCAACATCTCCCTAATGCTGTCTAACAAAGGAATTATCGGATACTCTCTAGGTGATCTCAAAGCAGAATTGATTGATTCTGCAGGGTTGTTGGTGTTAATGTCGTATCTAAATCCCGGAAAGTGGCAGCGAGCCCATTTTTCAACATTAGCATCGTTTAAGTATGCACCAATCGCTGGACTGTTGTTGCAAATATCCTCGAACAACTTCTCAAACTGAGTAACTCTATAGGATTTAGACGCTTTTGCAACCATACCAGCCACACCCCTTCCACTGTGATATGTAATAACATTACCGATCAAGTGGTGGATGCAAATACCATGGGAAGCTAACAGATAGATTTTTTCAAGCGATTTACTGATCGACAAATGCCTATCTGACACAAAAGCTAAACCTTGATCATCCGCTATGAGTGTCTTAAGTTGCAAGAAAAACCACTCCCATGATGCATCATTCTCAGAACGAGCAACGCCAAATGCGATTGGATACAAATTAGAGTTACCATCTACGGCTGTAGCAACCAGAAGAACTCCTTTGTATTTACTCTTCAAAAACGTACCGTCAACAACAATCACTTTCCGAATTGACTTGTAAAACCCTCTAATTGACTGACCAAAAGATATGAATAGATATTGGAATCTACCATCACAATCAACTTCATAATTTGTATACGTACCGGGATTAGCTGCTTGTAGCATGTACAAGTATTTTGGTATCTTACCATAACTTTTCTCAGGAATTCCTATGACTTCATTAACTGCATACTCACGAGACTCCCACGCCTGCGAATAATTAAGCTCGTGTCCATACTGTGACCGAATAAGATTGATGATATCATTCGGTTTAGGTCCTTCCAACACACCTTCATAATTATGCATAATGATATGTCCAATCGTTTTTGCTGAAGGTGTTCGACAGAATTTACTTTTCTTGGAAGGAGCACATGTATGGTTACCCACGTACTTGTTGATTTTTAAATACGAAGACCGCTCTAAACGCTCAGCTCGAAGTCGCCACTTGCAGCCAACATCTATGCATCGTATACACCACAGTTTTGTATCAGACTTTGTAATCATGTAGTCACAGTTATACTTCATCGCATACAATTCCATGGTTGACTGTAACAATTCTTTGCTTCTGAAATACTGACCCTGGCTCACACAAGAATACTGTGACGACGATCCGAGTCCGTGACCAACAATAGCATTTTTTGGAGTTTTGAAACTATCGGCATTCTTTCTAGTTTCTTTCGCACCCCATGATGACAAAATATTGTCGACATTAACATCATCATCTCCATCGTCGACATTAACATCATCATCTCCATCGTCGACATTAACATCATCATCTCCATTACTTGCAGCGTCGGGTTCCTTATTCAGATCGAATTTTTCTTTATTCCTTGTATCTTTATCTCCACCATTGAACGTCACACATAACTTGATCGTATTTTTCCTTTTACAGTACGAAAGGAAATTACTAACCTGTCTGTTATTCATCATTACAACAGGAGGACAATCCAAGCTAAGATCCGTGGGTAAGTAACTTAACTCCACATCAACTGTACTCTGTTCTATTCCATAGTCTTCTGCAACAATCGCTTGTAACTCTTCAAAAGTTGTAGTCGTTTCCAAACTCAACAATCTCCCACGATTTTTTTCATCAATGATAAATCTCCACTCTTTCTTGTTATACAATCTCCACACACCACTCCTTACATAGATGTACATCGAGAAATCGTTGATCAAAAAAGGGAAAATTTGAAGGAAAACGTGTTCTTAGCTTTTTAGAAACGAAAGTGGTGGACTAAGACGTGTAGGATTAAGACGTGTAGCTTTTTAAGGTTTAAAAAACGTTTTAGGTTTTAATCTTAGTCTAAAAACCGTAGACAAAAACTTCTACATCTTGTAGATCGTAATCTAAACAATAAATAATCATTTATATCGTAATCTAAAAAAAATATTTTATTTCCTTTTCTGAATATTTACTTTCTATATTTAGAGCATTCTAAAAATTACAGAAATCTAAATCTGCAATACCGTAGAATTTACATTCTAAACGTAGATTACAATTTCTAATTATGGCAGAAGATGTAGAAATTATTAGAACGTCTATTCTAAAACATTTAGAACATAGAGGAAAACGTAGAATGCATGTTCTAAATATTTTAGATTATTGATTTTCGGATTTCTAAAATTCTCAGAACATAAATCTAATCTGAAATATGTAGGACATGTACAAAAATGCAGAATACACATTCTGAGTTTCGCAGAACTCTAGAAAACGTGTTCTACCAAAATTAGATGAAACTTTATCTATAAAAAAATCAACTTTTTGTAAACCAAATCTAAAAAATTATACTTCAAATCACCTCTACTCTTGTATATCTACCTGTTTTTATGATTATTTTTTTTAAAAAACAATTAAATTAGAGTGTAGGGGTAAAATCGTCCAAACTGACAATCTCACAAAAAAGGTGTATATGGACAAATTTTTAAGTAGATATCCTTTATTTCCAATTTTCCCAAAAAATATAGATATGCAACGTTACAAACACAGCACTGTTGTTTACAGATACAGCTATTAATTTATGGTCCCCAACACACAGACCTCAACAAGTTAAGAATTGATCATCATTCTTATATTATGGAATATGTGTATATACTTAGTTATGAAGATGTGTGTAAGTGTAGTGTAACTCATTACGTAATTGTACCTCGGTAAATTTTGGACCGCTAAATTTTTTGTGTTAGGTACACTACATGTGTGGAATTTAAAAGCTGAATATTTTATTTTTCTTTATGTACTCATGATTTGATCTTTCCGTCTATAACTCCAGAAAACGTAAGCCATTGAAAAATAATAAAATTAATTATCATAATTTTCGATAAAGTTTAGACTTATTAATAGATTAAAAGCTGTTACCAAAAATTTTTGAAACCGATTGGACTAAACTAATCTGATCCGGTTCCATAATTATTGTTTATGCGGTCATAGTGTTCACAATATCGGATACTGTTCGTAAATACTTCTTTTTTTTTACACCAAAAGAAAATATCGGATACCGGATCTCTGATCGATTAGTTATACCAGTTTTGTCGTGATTTGGTTTGGTATGATGGTGTAGTGAGTTTGGATTTTTCGTAACCTCAATTAACATTCCAAAAACAATTAAATATTGGTAAAGACAACCTCAAATCAGATAATATTATTATTATAAATTGGGATTCCCATTTCCTTGCTGACCCATCATACAAAAGGTAATGACTAACATAAAGTTTTATCTTTTCTTAAAAAACATTCTAGAATAACTAAAACAATTGAAGATAGATTTTCGACAATAGAAACCTTTTTTAAGAGTTCTGGAGTACTAGGCTTGATAGTTGACAGCTCCTCACTACACGTACTGGCCATGGTTATTGTACCACTAACTTCGGTGTTTAAGTCGTCATAGTTTTTGGTTGCCAAACATTTGAGAGCAGAATTAGAACAATCAACAGCAAGGGTAAAAGTTTCAGAGCATACCTTATATGAACCCTTAGTGCTAGGATCAATTGTGCTTTTTTCAAGTGATTGGAATTGCTTCAACATAACTGATATTTTTCGAGAATTATAATTGATCAAAAATTTGGCGAGACCAAAAAAATCCAGTGTTGCAATTTCAGGGGATGAGTTCAAGAACTCAAAGCAAAACGTAGGATTGGTTTTTTCATGTCTGCAAATGTCGTTGACTTCACTTTTTGTAATCTTCGTACTAAATTGTGCATTTGAGAAGACAACCAAAAGAAGTACAAATAGTATATGAACCAATAAAAATTTGTTTTTGTTATATGTAACCATTTTTGGATGAAAATGTTTGAGAACTTATGTGACATTTATATAGGCTAAAGCATACCTTCAAATTTAAATGATAACCAATTTTATTTATTTTTGCCATAAATGCTAAACAGATTATGTACCATAATAAAATGATTTGACTTAATACCATCCATATGTTAAACTTTATTTATCTTTTGCTGTAAATGCTACATTATGTACCATAGTAAAAGGATTTGACTTAATGCCATCCATATGTTACATGGTCAAAGCATTCAATGTTTTATTTTTTGGTAGGTTATATAATTTCTCAATTTGTTGATGTAGAATATAAATTTGGAACAAATCACCCAAAATTATCAATAGTAAATTCCGTAAATTCTTACTTTTAAAATAAATAAAACAAATATCTAATTTACCAAAAAAGTAAGAAAACTTATTTATAGTAATTGAATAACATTATGTCAAATAGTAAAATGATTTGAATTAATAGCATTTATATGTTCAACGGTCAAAGCATTAATTCAATGTTTTTTTTCTTTGGTAGTTTAGATAATTTCTCAATTTGTTGATTTCATTGATATCAAAATATATATATAAAATAACATCAATTTGGAATGAATCTCACAAAATTATCAGTAGTAAATTGTTATTCCCTTTGTATCATTTTAATTGATGTTTAAAGTTCTTATACACACAAAATAAATAAAAAAAACACACAGAAATTGTATTTAATTTTATCTTTTTTATATAAAAACAACAATATATAAGTTGAATTCAACCAATTAGAAAACACGCTGTAAAAAATAATTGGTCAAAAAACATTAATACATTTAATTTTTACATAGAAAGTTGAAAAGATCACTTAAAATGAAAAAAAAAAACTTTTAAACATCACTTAAAATGATATAAAGAGAGAACTTTTTAACATTAATTAAATCACTATAAGAAAGGGATTTAACGTCATTAATTATCAAGCCTAACGTCGGTTTAAAAGTGATTAAATTGACCCTAACATTTTTTACTTCGGTTCTAAAAAGTGACGTTAAATTTAACGTCTAAAACTTGCGTCGGTTTAACTTTATGTTTACGTTGGTTTGCTAGGTATAATTTAAATAGTATATAAAATTAAAAGTATTTGGCAAGAAAATAGTATAACTAAATAAATGAAAAATAAAAATACTAAGAATAATTGTGGGTTTGATACATAAGCACTAAAAATTTTATTTTTATATATAGAAAATTTTAACAAAAAATTATATTAACATTGTAATTAATTAAAACTTTGAAACAATACGTTTACGTCAAACATATATTAAAATATACAACAATAGAGATAATCCACAATATTGCAACATAGTCACTTCTTCGAAACTTTAAATTCAGCTATTGAAATCCTTGCCTGAAAACCCACCAACTTCACTCACATAACAAAATTTCTTCTGTCTAACATTATTCTTGGACAACACATTCTCTACCTAGTACCTAATACTTATAATCCGCCAATAGATAGTGTCTCCTTTCAGCAATGAACAAAGAATTTGAGCATAAACACAATAAATGTAGATTTTTGCAGATTATTATACATTATATATCAGATGCGTTAAATTACAAGAAACATTGAACATACATGCATATAAACTGTGATTAAAGAAGACAAATATTAGAAACCAAGGAGCCTGTAGTTTAAAAGGAAAGATTGTGATCTCATTTATAAGGTAGTAAGAACGTACCTAGGACTATGGGAACTAGAGCAACCTTTGAAGCATGGTTTAAACTTTTCTTCTCCTATAGACCACAAGTTCCCACTCTACAAGGAAGAGAAGTATCAAATAACCATAAAAGAAGAAGATTGGCAACGTAGCAATAGCAACATTGGTGTGAAACGTCATTACAAGTGTGAAACTTTCAAGGATCACTCACAAGTAATTCAAGTTGTTGAATGTTCTCCAAGTGCAGCTGGTATCTGAAGATTCTAGGAGACAATCAATGTACGAGACAAACTTTGGCTAGGAAGTCCTCTGTTTCATTAAGAAAACAAGACAATCTCAGAAATCTGTCTATCTTGTTTCTCTTTTTGTCTTGTGTAATATAACAGATGGATTGATTTTGATCTACGCCGATATCCTTCAACGAGATTTGTAAATCATTGTTAGAATCAAATTGCTTTATCATAACACACACCAAAATTCAAAGAAATTTTTATGACGTATAAACCTTGCTGGGCTATTGGAGAAGAGAAGAAACTCCATAGATGGAGACCAAAAATCAAAACAAGAGATCAATGATTCTCATTACCATTGGAGTAGCAGAAAACGAAAGACCTGATAATTAATTTAAGTTATGTGATTTTGATGTTGAGAGAGACGCCGATTTGTGTCACGTACAAGGAAAATTCGATTTGCAGAGAAAGAAAGGTACACCTAACATTTGGGTTAATTTTAATTACCGTCGGTTTAGTAAACGACGCTAATTCCCTTCCCTCTTTCTGATCTCCACGTCACTTATTCGTGTTTAGAGAGACGTTAACCAACAAATCTCTAAAACAAATGTATCTAATTTAAGTATTTAACAAAAAACAATATAAGAAAAATTATTTATTTTAACTGAATAGCATAATGTCAAATAATTTTTTATTCATTTTTTATAGGGTAAATTGCAGGGCAGGGCATAAGACCAACTTTTAATTTCATGTTTTGGCAAAGTGAGAATTAGTTTTCAAGTTTTGACAATTTAGCCAAAATCTGACCATTTTACCCCTACTAGCGTAACGATGTACTGTTCACTGTACGGTTCAGTTATGCGGTTCAGTTACGTACACTGTTCCGGTTATGCAATATATTTTCGTTTTTAATTGATTTCTGCGGCTGTACAGTGAAAAATGGGGATTAATAACATTAAAAAACAATGAGAAATCAAGATTTAATGCCCAAAAAGTTTAGACATGACTCATGTCACAATTAATGCAAAAGTCATCATTACTTTTTCTAATATTAGTTTATATGTGTGAATAGTTGTAAGAGATAAACATGATCCATCAAACAAACAAATTAGTCTGAACGAATGTGATGCTGGAGAAGTTTTGATCTTCTTGATTTACAAAGTTTGGAGCCAAGACAAGCATTGATCGTGTAAGTAATGAAATTGGTTAAAAAGTTTTTTGTTATAACACACTAGGGTCTTGATTGTGTTCGAAATCAACATTGTTTTTATATAAAAACCCAGAATATTTTTATTTCCAATTTTTTTAGTTGAAAATGCTAAATGAGGATAGATTTATGTATATAAGTGTGTAGTTGAGAATTCTTTTTGTTTTTTTGTAGATATAATCATGCTTTTATTTGCATTTAATGGGGTTCTGCTGAATTTATGATACAGGTGGGTAATGGATATTCCCGTATTTACTATAGTGGGTGAGTGGAGATGCAAAGAAGAAGAATGGAAATTTGAACCATGGGAAGGCTGGTTTGGTCGTTGTGTACGTGTTAAGGAAAACATGATGTACACGGAATTTGTACGTACATTATGCGAGGTTTTCAGTTTGAAGTCCACCGAATGCAATCCAATAATTAGTTACTGGATGCCGGGAAAGATGTCAGTGATGATAGAAAGTAAACGCCCTCCTGTCTACATTGACAATCAAATGAGCCTGGATACCTTCTTTTTGATTCGTGGTGGGGATCCTAGTGTCACCTTGTTTGTCTCTTTCATTACAACCGTCAAGGCACTCGAGAATACTGTCCCTAGGACCGATGGTGACGATGGTGAGAGTTACCGTGTGTGTGGGAGTGCAACGACACCAAATCTCATCGTAGCGGCTTCAAATGTAGATGGAAATAATGAGGCCGTAGATGAGCAAGACGACGTTGAAGACGATAAAACAAATGAGGATGAAGAAGAGGAGGAGGACAACGAAGATGGTGCTGGGTATGATGATTATCAGGGTGATGATGGATCTATGGGGGGAAGTACCCTCGATCCTACTATAGACGGTAGTGAAGGCAGTGGCGAAGATTACGATTACAACAAGTGGAACGATGTAATTGTTGAAGAATATGGAATAGGGAATGTTGAGGAGGACGTCATTCTCACTCAACAAACGGTTCAACATCCAGGGGAATTCAGTCGTCTATTGGCAGAGTGTACGTACACAAGTCATCGTGTACCTGGGGGAGATAACTCGGTTGACCGTACACCAACCGTGACTCCAAGACGTACGTGTCAACATGGTTTGTACCAATGTACGTACACAACATAATGTGTACAAGATACAAGCTGCGAAGGTAACACCGATACCAATATTAATGGTATAGACAAAGTCTCTAGGATGATGTTATCGACCGTGGTATTGGAGCTTCCCAAGTGGGACACTGAATGATAATCGGCTAGTTACTGCACCTGGCGGAGATAACATTTCTCATTCGGGTGACCGTCCACCAACCGTGACTCCAAGACGTACGTGTCAACATGGTTTGTACCAATGTACGTACACTACAGAGTGTGTACAAGATACAGGCTACGAAGGTAACACCGATACCAATATTAATGGTATATACGAAGTCACTATCGATCGGGTAAGTGCTATCATTCAAACCTGTACACATTTTTCAAATATCCCACAACATTATGTTTTGAGTATAAGATGCGTAGATTATTAACTTATTGTTGTTGTCACTTCAGAAAAAGAGACAGAAAAGACTTATTCCGAATCAGTGCACACGATGTAGACAAGCAGGTCATAACAAGAAGACTTGCAAAAATCCTATTTAGTTCTCCTCAAAAGTTTTATGTCACCGAGAAGACAGTGTACGTTTATGTGTGGACCGTGTGTACCAAAGTGTTTTGACGGTGTACGTATGTTTAATGTTTGCCATCGTATAACTATGTACGTTTTTGTTAGTGTACGTTTTTGTTATGTCTGTGTACGTATAATCTTCATGTAAAAAACGTTTACAAACGGTTACACACATTTGTATCTCAACCGTTGGAACACTTTCGCACTACCCACTGCGTCCGTTACGGAATTTCCTTATTTAAGCCACATCTCCTCCTCAATTTTATCCACGTTCCTTCAAACGAAAACCCTTTCACATTCGGCAGTTACATCAATCATACACAAAGTCTTTCGATTGTTCTTGCTAACCGTGTGATGGACGGGTATCATACCATCTCCGAATTGTGTCCTCAGATCATTGGGTGGACAATTTGTGTATTTGTCGTGAGAGTGTTTAAGAAGTTTGTTGCGCCCAACGTCTTCGAACTCGGCCTTATCTTGGCAGATTATTCGGTAGTTTCCCTATGCCATGTTTGTGTTTTTTTATCATACATCAGGTTCAATTGTATATAAATCAGTATTTAATGCCTAAAAAGTTTAGACAAGACTCTTGTCACATTTAATGCAAAACTCATCATTACTTGTTGTAATATTAGTTTATACGTGTGAATATAATTGTAAGAGCTAAGCATGAACCATCAAACAAACAAATTAGTCTGAACGAATGTGATGCTGGAGAAGTTTTGATCTTGTTGATTTACAAAGTTTGGAGCCAAGACAAGCATTGATCGTGTAAGTAATGAATTTGGTTAAGTAGTTTTTTTTGTTATAACACACTACAAAAAGACAGAAAGACTCTTTCCGAATCAGTGTACAAGATGTAGAGAAACAGGTCATAACAAGAAGACTTGCAAAAATCCTATTTAGTTTTATGTCCTTGTTTTTTTGTCACCGTGTAGATAGTGTACGTTTATGTCTGGACCATGTGTACCACATTTTTTGTCGGTGTACGTACGTTTAATGTTTGCCATCATATAACTATGTACGTTTCTGATATGTCTGTGTACATAAAATAATTCGATATTTTTGTGAGAATTGCCCCTCCCTAGGTACAATACTTCTCTTTTCCTGGGCTCTCCAGGCTGCGTCTATGACCGATGTATAATTCATTTTTCTTTCCTTTCCCAGACGAACCATGAATACTTCATAAATTAAAAAGCCTATTCTAGGAGTAGAAAACGTAATTATATAAATCCATCCCCAAAACGCATTATAATTCCATAAGAACCGTATATTAATAACATATTTTTGTTTCCACATTAAAACCCAAGATTCCAAAATAATGTAGAACCGATAAACTGTGAACATAAACAAATTTGTCTCCAAACTCGAGACCCACATTGTATCCAAGAATTTGTCTTGCCCTGCAGTCACCTTCCTTGCATCTAATAAATCAGATTTGTTTCCAGCAAGGGCCATGACCATATTAGGGTTACCTATAATATATTATTTATTTAGTAAAACCAACAAACAGAGACTAAAGCTAGACAGTGCCTGCAACTGTTTGTCATAAACTAACAAAGAAAAATCAAAGCCATAACTTAGCTATACAATACCTTGTGCCTGCAGTTCCTGAACCCATTTCTTTGCCCTCTCAAACGAGGCCTAAGAAGATAGCAAAAGATTCAAATAAACATAATTTAGTAGAACGCCACTGAATTGCATCTACTGATCAATAGAGAGCATGGAGTTTTATCATTCTGTACCTGATTCGTAACATCAAAAACAATGATTGCAGCAGCAGCACCTCTGTAGTACATTGGAGCCAAACTATGGTACCGTTCCTGACCCGCTGTATCCCAAATCTCAAACTTGACAGTTGCATCGTTGACAGCTAACGTTTGTGAGAAAAAAGCAGCACCAATGGTTGATTCCTATAACATAAACAAATATCAAAGTCAAGAAGCACACAAAGAATGTGAAAACAACAAGATGATCATTATAACAGAAGAGCCATTAACCTGGAATTCAACAAACTGATCTTTGACAAAACGTAACACAAGACTTGATTTTCCAGCTCCAACATCTCCAAGTAACACCTGAAGACTTAACCAAGTAGTACACAGAAACAAATCAAAATAATTAAAAAAACAATCAAGAATGTTTGCAAGCATCTTCATATCTATAATCCTGGTTCGAGATAAATCACTAAAACCCTATTACGAAAACACCTAAATAAGAATCCAACATAAACCCTAACAACAAAATCCGATCAAAATTCTCCAAATTAGAAACAGAATCACATCCGGAAACTGAAAATCTAACAAAAGGGTCTGCAAATTCAATCAATTTCACAATCATCGGAGAGAAAACAAAAAAAAATTCAAAGGGAGCTCAAAAGAATCGAGCTAATAAGACTGACCAATTTGGCGTTAATGCTCTTGTTTCCAGCTGCAGCCATGGATTTATCGATCTGAAGAGAATCGGATCCCGATAATCTTCAGCTCAAAACTGAGATTGTTGAAGATCAAAAGAAGACGGAAACAAATTGGCAAAAATATTTAGATAGCGGAAACCCTAAAATCGCCTCCATCGCCTTTCTCTCTTTCTCTCTCTCGTTCTTCTTCTTCGTTTCTGCGCAAGATTTTTTTTTTTTTTAATTCAAAACCAAACTATAAAATAAAGAAAAAGTAACTAAACCGAAAACCAACTGTGCCATTTGGTTTAAGTCATTAGGGGTATTTTCGTCAGATTTTGGCTTAATTGTCAAAACGTGAGAACCAAATCTCACTTTGCCAAACATTGAGAGAAAATCTTTTTTTTCAGCAGAAACGTGAAATTTTCTTTTTCTTATAATTCGTACAATATTCAGAGACCATCTTCATACGGGACTCCAGTCGAATTCAACCAAAAATCTTGATTTATAAACTTTCCAACTGTAAATTTGATCGCCTCTTTCGGATCCGTCATAACTTTAAATCCTTTCCACTGGACTCTATTGGTTGTAACCGCTCCTAGACCTTTGTTCTTGTACTCGATGTAGGATAAGGTAGATAAAGTTTCGATATCGCTCTTGTTCCACGGAATATAACCCGCTGGATCAATCAGAGCATCCATGAACGATTCTAGAAATATCACTCTAGAGAAGTTTCCCCATGGTCGTCCAAGATAGGTCTTTATAGTTCCTCTAACCGGCGCGAGTTCGGAACTTGCTGTTATGTTGCATTTTTGGATTGAAAACCCTGATTTATCACTTGGGTTGGTACGTGAATGGGCTGTTATCACATTGCTTTGTCCAAACTTCGGCTTCCGTGCTTCAATTTGACAATGTTGAAACACTGCCGTTGCATGTCCACATATGAAGTCTACGGTGCCAGTGATATAGCACTCACTATAAAATTGCTTGCCCCAATGAGCATACAATGAATCTTGATACGCCTCAATTCGACAACGGTGAATGACTACCGCTTCAGCGCTCACTCGGAGAGCTACGGCTTGTCCTTTCGCCGGTCCAGCCGTGTTCCGGATACATATATCTTGGGCCATAAACAGGCCCGGCTCACTAATCGGTAAGACCCGGTGCCATACAAAAAAAAATCTTATCTTTAATAAAAAATTTATATATATATATATTTACAAAAAGTTATATTTCATAAATTATTTTGTATTTTATAGCTATTTGGACATGTTATTTTTGTTTATTAATTTTGGGCCTCAATATTACCTTTTAAAATAAAATTTTGGGACCTTTACATATAGATATTTTATAAAATTTCAGCATAATTAAATAATTAAATAATAGAAAAACTATGAATTTGGACCTTAAATTTGTTGGACCCGGTGCAAATGCACCACTTGCACATGCCAATAACCGGCCCTGGCCATAAATCCGTTTCCATTCACACCTGCACTCGTATAAAAAAAGATGTCATAGTCTCATTACTAGAATCATAAAAAATATAAGAAGCTAAAATAAATAAAAGAAAACAGTAATATTTTAGGAAAAAAAATACAGTACCTAAAGTTGCAGAATCATAGGTTTTAATACCATCATTGGCATTTAAATTACCACTGAGAATAGTGTCATCTCTACCATCGCCTATAATGATTAAGTTTGTTTTCGTATCCTCAATTTTGACAATTTCGTTATAGATGCCCTTCTTCACATAAATGATGTATCTAAGTTTGCTATTCACGGGTGCCGCTATGATAGCTTCCATGACGGTCTTGTAGTCGCCAGTACCATCCATAGCAACAGTTACATTGGCGTTACTTTTCAGTACCTGACAAAAACAACAGAAAAAAGTTAATAAACAATTGAGAAAACTAAACAAAAGTTTCTCCTTTCCCGAGAAATAATATATAGAATTTTGGGCTATAATTCTAAATCTGGGATATTATTTCACAGGCCTTTGTTGATTTTTATATTGGGCTCTTTATTGGGCAATAATTTACATATCCTGTTGTGGGCTTTTTCCAACCAACTATAATGGGTTTTTTTTTCTTAATATAATACAACATTTTATCAAAGTGAATTTTTGAAATTGATCCAAAACAAAAAATAGTGTTTAATTACTGAACAGAGTCTTTAACTGTGGAAGCCTCCTTGGCCCATTGGTTGACCAAAGGTTAATTAATGCTTATACACCAAGAGGTTTGGGGTTCGAGTCCCAGATATTACGATTTATTAATAAATTTGCAGATTAAAGGAGGCAAGTGTGCATGAGATCTCCAGCGAAGTACAATTATAGCCGTTCGCCAGGATTCTACGCAGAGAGAGAAGTGTCGTCAGGTCGTGGATCATTGAAGGTGTCCGTCAAGAGCATGGAGAAGGAAGTGTCGTCTGTCGTGGATCTAATATGGGTCGAAAGGAATTGTCCGTTGTAGAATCATCTATGTAACAGTTCTCATAATTTGCAATAAATAATAAATCTAGATGTCAAAAAAAGAACAGAGTCTTTAAGATTTGATCGCAACACGATAGACCAATATTTACATATTAACATATATTGACGGATTAAACTTTCATAGTAAAGAACTTGTGTTTACTGAAATGAAACCAACTTTGTAAGATACATATTTGATTTAAAATATAAAAAAAATTATGTTTGTTGATATTGTTTTTTTTCATGGAAAATATACATTTTAAGGAGATTAGTAGAGAGAAAAGAAGACGTTAGTAAATTTGAATAAGTGTATACCGAAAGTTCCTCTTTATAGATACAAGAAGAAAAATAATTTTTTTTATTTAATTATCAAATTACATCACACAAATAATTTGGGACTTTGTGATTACCTCGTCTCTCATTGGTATATAATCGGATCCCGGAGCTGTGAAAGAAATTGTTAGGAGAGTGGAAAAGGATATGACGAGAAAGTAAAACACTGAAAGTTTTGTGTAAACCAACATTCTGAGAGAATGTAAGAAACTTTATTTCTTTCTTTTCAAAAAGTTTTTAAGAGAAAACTGGACATGTCAAGAAGTTCTCTCGGATGGTCTATTTAAGGAGACAAAATTAAACTGTTTGAGTGTATTTTCTTATAGTTACTATATCGTATTCTTTACATATATATACATATATATATATATATATATATGTAATATATATATGCTAGCTTTCTATTAAAGCTTTCTTTCTATTTTTGTTATAATTACTATGTTTCTGTGTTTTCCTTCAATATTTTTATTTGTAATTTTACAAAATAAAATACAAATAATTTATATATTTCCTGTTCGTACATAATTTTCTGTCATTTACACAAATTGTTGTTATCTTCATTAATGTTCACCAACTGCTAAAGGTTTAATTTCCCACCCTTAATTTCATTGACTTTTTATAGCTTGAATTCAACCACACTGCAAGTCTGCAGCTGATCATTCACTTTGGTTACTAATTTACTATTATTGATAAACCTAGATGTTCAAAAAAAAAAAAAAAAAAACTGAACATAAACTCAACTTATTTGCAAAAAAATAATACATAAACTAATTAAACCTGATATTCATCTGTACGTATAGCATGCATATTAACATGTGAAATAATATAATTCATTAGAAGAAGCAAACTGTTTATCAAAATAATATTATACTATGTATAAATGCTATTGGAACACCTATACGTTCATCTTACATGCATGCACGTATAAGAAATACATGCGATTGAAACAAATTTGTTTAAAATTAAAATGATTGAAAGATTGACGAGAGATGATTTCCGTGCACGTGTATGCATGCACTATATATAAAAAAAAAAACAAAAACAAAATGTGAGAATAAGAAAATGCATGTATAGATGATTAGTGACATAACATAAATTATATTCGGAACCTTAATAAATTATATTATATGATAATTACACAATACACATATACGCAATTACTCGTCCTACAGGCTACATGAATTCATCATAAAGAGAAATTGGAATTAAAGAAAATCGATCGTTCCTCCCAATTCCATAATATAGTCGATCGAGCTCATTTATAATTTCTTGCTGAATTATTTTGTTTCAATGTAGCGATACGTAATTCCATAATGGGAAAATATGGTTGATTGTTTGTGGAGGTCATCTATTTGGTTGTTAAAAGGTCAATTGTTTTAATAAAAAGAAAGGAAAACATTAAGCGGTAAAATATAAATTTAATGATGACAGCATTAACTATGAGAGCATTAAGAATAAGAGCCGACGAGAAAATCAGAGATTATACCAATTCAAGGATGAACTTCTGATAAAAGCTCGATCTTCTTCTGTTTCCTTATGTATAATGCTACTTTCACAGCTTATTACCTATTACGAGTGTATACTATTAATTAATTTTGTTGGTTTTCGTTGCAATCAGCCAATCACTATCTGCAAATTGCAATAAACGTCAAGTCTTAGAGCACCAACATAGGTGAGATGGTGATATACGGTAAGAGTTTCTCAAAAAGAATTTTACTAATTCTTTTTTAATAACTAAACCAGTGACAAAGTAACAACTAAGATTTGTGTATTTCATAAGTTTCATAAAATTCTTGTTTGAGAACTCCTTTTTGTCCTCTTTCATATCATTTTTTTTTCTTTTTATTATGAGATACCCTCTTAAGAAACTATGGATAGAGATGACCTTTTAGCTAGATTATGGTGTGTGTAATTCAGTACATGATAGGTTTGGTGATGTGTCAGATGATTTTGGATTTACTTGATAAATAAACATTTTCATATAAGAGAAAATTGTACTTTGGTAAATGTCTGACCGCTAAAATTTTCGAGTTAGGTACACTACATGCATTTGTGGAAATTTAAAAGCTGAAATCTTATTCTTTCAAAATGTATTCACAATTGATATTTCGTGAGGCATTGGAAATAAATAAATTATATATGTAATTTTCGATCAAGCCAAGATTTTAATAGATTAAAAAATGTTGACAAAATTTTTTGGAACGAATCGGATAAATTATTATATTACATCTTAATGATAAGAAATTAAAAGGGGTTGAGAAGTTTAGGGTAACTAGTACATATATCGAAATTTCAAATAATGATTGATGTATTAGTATTTCATCTACAATGATGGTTGTAATTGGACTATATAGACGTTTTCTAAGAGGGTTTAGTGTAATGTCGCATCTTGGTGAGTGAACACAAAGAAGAGGGCATGCCTCGTTGGATGAGAGTGTCTAAATCTTTGTCACCACGGCCACTGCAATTCACGACCACCTTGGCTCCATCGCGCAGAGTAGGAACGAGTTTTTCGAGGAACGCGAGTGCGTGAGATGCTTCCAATGCCGGTATTATTCCCTCCAATCTGCTTAATCGCATGCACGCTGTAGTCGACAAGATATAAGATTAATGTTTTATGTAATAACAATTCTTGTAAAAATTATAAAGAAAACATTAGTAGTAAGTAACTATAGAGGTACGTACCTTGAATGGCTCTGCCAGTTTCTTTCATGAAACTAATCTCCGGTCCAACTCCGGGATACTCTAACCTATGACCATGTAATCAAGCATTTGTGAGGATAATGACTTCTCTTTCTTTTACTTGGTTTTCAAAATTAATTTACCCAAGCGCATATTGTTCTCAGTTTGGAATTTTGATTCGGCCAGGAAAAAACCCGGTTCAATCAGACCGGTTCATAGCTGATCACGAGACGTGACTTGCATTGCATGTGATAAACGTGATAAGTACCTTTTTTTTTTCCAATAAAAAGATGTGCAAAGTAATTTCTTACTTGTACAAATGTATAAGACTTCAGATATTATAATATCGTATAATACGTTGCACAAAAAAAAAAAAATAATATCGTATAATAATTTAATTAAAGATGCATCAACCTCTATGACTACTTGCCTCAAAAAAAAAAAAAAAAAAACTCAATGACTACTTTATCATGTGGTAATTAAAGATAGAATTTCTTCTATCTATGTGTTTACAAAAAAAAAAAGAATTTCTATCTATGTCAAGGTTTGTTCATTTATTTTAAATGAATTTAAATGGAAATAAATAATTATGATATCTACTTAGACGAATTTATTTTCAAATGATTTTTTATATATATATAAAAA